AAAGCTGTTGAGAATAAGGTTACTATCTAGAAAACAAAATTTACATAAGTCAACATTTAATTACCGAACAGGATTTTATCAAGGTAAGGTTTAATTTTTAATCTTCAAAGAACTTCAATAATATTTTAAATTCTATAATAGTGTGTAGTTAAGAGTATCGTGAAAGAAGTCTTTTTGAAAAAATATACATGAATCCTGATAATTTTTGCTAATATATAGAGGAATATTTTTAGCAAGAATATTCAAAGTTCTTCAAAGGCCTCACAAGAAAACATTAGATGATGTATTATGAAAAGTATATTTACCAAGCAATAATTATTGTAATTATTAATAATATAAATAAATTTATTAATAATATTATTTATTTAATAGCTTGTGAGACAATATAGATCACTTTGAAAGACCATGACTTCAAAAATCTGGAATGTTATATTTTCAGTTTTTGATGAAAACTTTCTAGATACAATCAATACAAATGCAACCACTATTGAAATTACAACTTGAAAAAATTTGCAAAAAATCTGTGAGTACTTCAAAAATTTTTATATCTGTCCTAGAGGGGAAAACCAAAGCATGATGGCATGCATTCTCGAAAAAGTCTGACCAAAAGGGGATGCCTCTGAGGAACAAATTGTATTCGTTATTGCAATATGCCAAATAATTCTAAATCCATATAATGAAAATATTTTAATTAATAAAGTGTTAATTAAAAGTAAAATAGAAAAAAATAAGGTAAGTTTTAAAATTATTCGAAGTATTATAAAGTTATTTGTTTATTAATAAAATATTTTAGGAGAAAATTAAAAAGAAAATCAGATTTATGAAAAACAATTCAAGCAATAAAGATCAAGAAATATATAAGTAAGAAGATATTGAATTTTAAAGTACTCTGGAGAAAGTAGAAAATGATGAAAACAATTTGAGATGGCAACCAGAAAATTGTTGAATAGAAAGGTCTACTTTGATAATAAGTGATATAAATGTAAATGATTAATAAACATATGTAAAAAAAATAATTTTCAATAAATAAAATTTTAAAAATAAATATTTTAATAATAATATGAAATTATTTTATTAAAATTTAAAACATTCAAAATTTTCCAGAGTTCTATATATAAATTTCCACTTCAGAGACTTTTAATGATAACAAAGTGTCTCCGGAGTTTTACACTCAAAAATCTCTAGAGATTTTTGTCAAAAAAAATTTCCTGATGTGATAAGGAAACTATATGTGTTTGATAAAATATGAAAAGTTTAGCAAAGTTTAGGGTTAGCATAGTTGATTATAAAGTAGATAGTCTATGTTAGTTAGAAAAGTATAAATAGTTTATCAATGTATATCAAGAAGGCAGTGTTGAATGTATTAGAAAACAGTACTCATTGTAAATAGAGGTAAGAGTTAATAATATATCAAAGAAACAGAATATAAATAAAGAGATACTTATCTTTGGTCAAGTCAATCACCATGTCTCTACCTTTCCTAAATGTTCTTTATAGGAGACATTTTCTTCTTTGTGTCAGTTGTGAGTATTTGTAAGTTGTTTGAATTATACGAGATACTATAGATTAGTAACAGATTTGCTGGATTAACCCACAACAATATATAATTGTCTTGTTTTAGAAAACTTTGATATCTTTTTAAGCCTTGAAATAATTTAAGCAATTGGATTTATTAAATAAACTTAATTGATTTTTTAGATTTTTTATAATATTAAGAAAGATATTAACCTGTATTAACCTGTATTAACTTAATTATAAATTAAAAAATTATTAATAAAAATTATCTATATTTCCATTATTAATATTGCTAAATATCTTTATTATATATTTATTATATTGATTTGAAAAATATATTATTCTTTTTTATTTATTTTGATCAAATTTTTTTTTTAAAAAAATTATTACAAAAGAAAATTTTTTGAAAAAAGAATTAGCAAAAAGAGTTTTTTTTACTTCAATTTTTTTATCACTACTTTTATATTTATTATTATATATAAAAAATGGATTGAATAAATTCACAAACACTTTATTATAATTGATTATAAATTATATTTTTTAGCAAAACTTCTTTTTAACTATTTAGAAATACAATCACTTAGTAATATAAGCATCACGAATTCATTTGATGTATTTCTAAAAATAAAAAATTTTTTTGTATAGCATCATTTTCTTAATATAACAAAAATAATATTTTTTGTTTTTCAGAGATCATAAATGCTCAATTTTATATTAAAATCCTAAAAAAACAATTTTCAAAAAATTTCTTGAAAAAAAAATTCTTCTAGTAATTAAATAATTATCTAACAATTTAATTTTAACTTTATCAAAAATTTATAAGAAATTATTAAAAGAAATGTAGAGAAAAGAAAACTTGAATATTTAAAGAAATTGGAAATATTTATAAACAAGAGTATTAAAAAATTTGATTGCATTAATGCTGATAAGATGCAAGCAAATAATTAATATATAAGGAAAAAGAATTGATTATCAGTAATATAATAAAATCTGGTTATTACATAATTAGCAATCAATTAATTTTGTATATTTAATAAAAGGTTTAGATTTTTTGAAGAATATTGAAAAAAAAAATTTTTTTTCATACAGTATACTGTATATTTATAAAACTAAAGATGAATTTGTTGATAAAAACCAGCCTGGCTTAATGGTATTGCAATAATAATTTAACCTTTTATCGATAATCGGATTGATTACCGCGATAAGTTGCATATTTATAGAACTAACGTGAGATTTTTCCCATCAGGCGCCTTGGACTTGGCGTCTCTCGCAAAAATTTTAATGAAAGTGGAAATTTTTGGTGCATGAGAAATTCAAGTACACAAGAGTTTGCTGTACTTGGGGTAAGTAGAGATACTTTTATTTAAGATTGTTGGATCTAATAAGTACAAAAAAAAACATTTTTTTTTCATCTGACGTTTTCTTAGTTATTAATACCAGAAGTCATTTATTCGCAATCAAAAAGAGTTGCTTAAATCGTCACAATTTTCAAAATAAGTAAGTTTTATAATGCATTAACAATGATTCCAACCAATCTTGAAGTGATAATATATTGATTTGTAGGTTTCTTGTATTTCAACTTTGATTCCATTTCCGTGGGAACGAGCATCCCATCTCAGCTGATTTTTGATAATACGAACGTCTTATGTTCATCCTTTTCAACTCAAGATAAAGATTATCCATGAAATGTTATAGTTCAATCGGTCTTTTTGATAATATTTGAATGCCTTATATTCAGTAATTTGGGAACTGAACTGTATCTATTCTTTTCATCATTTTTTTTTTAATGCGCCAGTATTTTTATCATAAAATATTTGTCGTATCTTGCTAAACAGGATAGAAGAGATCTTTCTTTCTGTTTTATTTTTGTGTATTACTATAACCGTGGTTTTTTTTTTTAAAAGAATTTCGCGCAAATGAGTTATCCATAAGGTTTTAAAATGTAAATTGCTAACGTTTTTTTAATGTGAATAAAATTTATTTACATTACAGGTGCCTAATAGAAATAAGATGATAACGATATGCTTACACTTTGGTGGGTTCTAATATTGCAAATTAGAGAACTCGATATTTAATCTAAATGATAATTTTGTTGACTGTAAATGTAAATAGTAAAAAGCATAACGTTTTAAAATGAAAATGAAATCACAAATCTTGCATTAAAAAATACATGCAATAAAAATTTACATTTCAAGTTCGTCATTTTCTTGAAATCACATTGGATAAGTCACATTTTCATAGACTGATGAGCAGGGTTTCTTATTTTCGAAACAAAAACGTTGAATATCCTTTGTTAACAAAAAGCATTCATTAGAAAATTAGCAAGATTAGCTAGAAAATCAATGCCATTTCGTTTCATACGATTTTTTTTTCGCTGTAAAAATCAAATTTCCAAATATAATCTTGGAGAGATATTCATAGACATTAATTCCTGGAATAACATTTTGCATGCGTAAGGAATTTGGACCTGAGAAACCTGTGGTGCCAAACGTGGAATATAATTAGAACAACGGTATGATTATAATAACTTAGTCGTAGACGTCACGTACCCTTATAGTGTTTTTGCAAATCCTGCACTCATAAACACCTTTCGAGGGATTCGAAATAGCCATTAAACCGCATAGATCGCATATATGAACACTGAAAGGATCAGAAACATCAAATAATCTTTCCTATTTAAAATTAAGAGAAAATCAGATTATCAGGGGAAAATGACGTCGAGGCATTTGCTTATTATTATTACCTTAAGAAATAATGCGGCTCCATGAGATATCATACAATCTCTCTCCATTTCGCCGAATCGCAGCCCTCCTTCGCGAGAACGTCCTTCAACAGGTTGCCGAGTCAAGATGTTAAGCGGACCCCGAGCGCGAGAGCTATTGATTAAATTTATTAAGTATCACAAATATTCAAGTATTCTTGATTAATAAATAAGAAAGTTATGATATCCTACTGGATCTTATCGTGTACCATATGTTTCAATCGTTGATAATAAGTTGGGCCAATGTATACGTGAGCTCTTAATTTCTTTCCTGTATATCCATTATACATGACTTCATTTCCATAAGGATGATGACCCAACTCTTTAAGTTTTGATGAAATGGATTCAACTGTGACATCAGTAAAAGGCGTGGAATCCCCTTCATTTCCGGTAATGACAACAAGCTGTTATTAAAGATGAACCGTCAGCATTTAACTAGACAACTTTAAAAGCAAAGCGTTTTATTTACCTTTCCTAGCAAACATTCAATTAAGTGACCAATAGTCATTCGACTAGGGATGGCATGGGAATTGATAATAATATCTGGGATTATGCCGTCACAAGTGAAAGGCATATCTTCTTGGCGACGCAAGATACCGATGGTGCCTTTTTGACCATGTCTACTTGCAAATTTGTCTTCGAATGAATGACATAAGATTTATTAACTCTATAGTAGATGATTCGGACCAAGTTTCATTGATATTACCTCCCATTTCAGGGATACGCGTATTTCTAATTCGAACTTTTACGGATTTCATGGAGTCTTGATCTGAGGTGACTACAACACGATCCACGAATCCTGCTTCCGAATGTCTCAGCGTTGTTGATATATTACGATGGGTCTGGGTTTCTTTTTTTTGGCCGAACATTGCATTTTGAGGAGTAATAGGAGTTGTTTTACCGATCAAAATGTCCCCTTCTGCCACTGACATTCCAGGTGTTACGGCTCCATCTGCGTCGAGTTTGTCGGCACTACCGAGACGTAACCCAGCCGTATTGTCATTGGTCGGTTTCATTATCTCTTCAAATCTCAACACCCCCTGGTATATTCAAGGATTAAACCCGAGTTACAACAATTAATAACCACAAGAGTTCATACCTTTTTCTTTTCATTTTCTTGGTAACTTCTAAAGGTGAAACTTCTAAATATACCTCGATCGACGCTGCCCTGATTCATAATTATTGAATCCTCTTGATTATAACCTTCATAGCAAAGTATCGCAACAATTGCGTTATGTCCAGCAGGTAATTCGCGGAATTTGAGGTATTCCATGACTTTTGTGGTCACAAGAGGCTTCTGTGGATAGTATAGTATATTTGCAACTACATCCATCCTCGACTGATAATTGGTCGAGTATATTCCCATGGCCTGTTTTCCCATGGCAGATTGATACGTATTACGAGGAGACTATAAAGAAAATATACGAACAAATTATTTACTATTCCACAATAATGCACTATGTAACGAATGATAGATAACCACACTTGAGATATTTACTTGATTGTGATCTGGAAAAGGAATGAGGCTGGCGGCGACACCCAATATCATGCTCGGATGAATCTCACAGTGAGTCCACCTGTCAGAATGGGCAGTAGGAGCCTTCGATCGTTCAGCTAAGCTACGCTTGACCGTCGGAGGTTTCATATTCATGGATTCGTATGCAAATTGAACTCGTGAATCCCTCAAGTCTTCGGGCGTCATGCAAATAAGCGAAAACTCCTCCTCTTCAGCATCAAGATATTCAATCAACCCTTCATAAACTAAAGCTTCCCAATCGTATGTTTCTTCTTCAAGCTCATCCAGTTTCTACGAAATTCAAATATGTTTGCATCATTACTTACATAATGCAACACTTGGTGATCATTAACCTAGTGCTTACATTCCTCTCTATTTTTCGTACGTGTTCCGGTGTTATTTCTAATTTCGAATCATTGACCACGAATAACGGCCTACAAACTCTTCCAGGATCCGAATACACCCTTATTTCTTTAGAGCGAATATCATTAACGATGCTGACATCGAACGGAAAATCCCCACTTCTTTTCAAATTCTTCAAGGTGTTATATAAATGAATATCGCTGTCAGTGACGCCAATCCAGTTACCGTTTATTAAGACTTTTGTAGCTGAATGTATCTCCTGTCGCATCTCGGTTTGAAAACCAATGGAATCCATCATCCCTGTTGCATTTATATGTTCGACGATAATATTTGTTGGAGTACCCACAGAGATATATGCCATTAGGGACAAGTTCTTCATGAGTCCGCATGCCTGCCCTTCGGGAGTTTCCGACGGGCAGACGTAACCCCAGTGAGTGTTGTGCAAATAACGCGGCCTGGTAACTTTCCCTTCACGTGAAATTGGTGTATTACATCTTCTCAGGTGAGATAAAGTGGACACATACGTGTATCTGTTTAATACTTGGGCAACCCCGGATCTTGACTATCACAAAACAAGATAGACAGAGTAATAGAGATAATGTTCATGTGTTTATCTTGTTGGCATGAGCGTATGGATTACCTGCATCGCCTTCTTCGCTTCGCCCCAATTACCAGTCCCCAAAGAATACCTCATTCCGTTTGTTATTGTCTGAGGCTTAATAACCATCTCGAGATTAATTTCACGTCTATCCGCGAGCATCTGAAGAACAAAGGATTTGTAACAAGACGATGGTTAATTAATAAAATTTTATCAAATGTTGATTGACTAACTTTCTTTATAAGGGTAGTCATGTCTTTGACCATTCTTCTAAACAAATTGTTAAACAAATTGGACAACAAGGCTCCGGCGAGATCAAGTCTTTTTTTTCCGAAATGATCTCGGTCATCTAATTCCCTTCTTCCTAGGGCGCACATTACAAGTCGACGAATCATGTATCCCAAGAAATGTGCTTTTTGCTTTTCGAAACCATATGTGTCTCCGATGTGCGGGAGGAATTCTTTTTCGAGGATCCTTTTGGTCTGACTATTTATTGATCCAACTTTTTGTTAAAATAAGATCCTGATAAATGATTGCAAACGAAAGTTAGATAAAGTCACATACGAAATACGTTTATCCAGAGGGGTACCAGGAGATGTTGCTCTCTTGCCAATATAATCCAACGCGACCTGCGAAAATTTTTTGGATTCAATAAGAGTTCTTCGACGCTCGTACGTCGAATTACCGAGCTGCACAATAGGATTTACCTGTCTGGTTTGAATTGCAAAACTTTCTCTGAGACATGGTTTTATGGCTTCGGTGAATTCGCCATCGCTCGGACTTGCTCCCGTGAGCTGTAAAATGTCTTTCTCACAGGAAATCCCAAGAGCAACAAACAATATCTTTACTGGAATGTCTTTTTTGACAAAGGGTATACTTGCGTGAATAAATTGCTCTGAATCCTATTTGCATAAACATTTAAAAGAATTAGGAAAAATTTAAAAGATGTTAATAAATAATATTTCTTGTAAAACCTCTGATTCCCCTGATTTCGCCTGTAGCTTGAGAGTAAAGGTTCTAATAACCAACCCCTTCTCAGCCGAGCTTTTAATTTCTGCGGTGTAGGAGTATGAAGATGGTTTTTGTGTCCTGAATACAAATATCATGTTATTTGCTAGCCTTTCTTGGGCGATCAAGACTTTTTCGGATCCGTTTATAATGAAATAACCACCCTATATTAGTAAAGTATTAGTAAACAGAATAGTTATCGTATAGTTGATGTCACCTCGAATGATAATAGAGAGACCTGATCATATGGGCATTCATTGACATCGGTTAACTGGTCTTCTTCCAGAGAGCATAGGGAGCAATACGAAGACTTCACCATGATGGGGATCTATAATAAAGAAAAATGTTAAGACAAATGTGGATGACATGTTATATGTATAAAAGCTACCTTTCCGATGAAAACTTCTTTCCACGGGGAAAATTCTTCGTCGCTATCGCATGTTTCATTGAAGTTAGGATCATCTACCCGAGAGTATGCTGTTCCAATCCTTGTCTTGAGAAAATCCTGTTCGGTAATTAAATGTTGACTTATGTAAATTTTGTTTTCTAGATAGTAACCTTATTCTCAACAGCTTT